ACTGAGGAGAAAATTCCCGCTCAGTCCCAAGACGAGCTCAGGGACGTGCAATTGGACCAAAGGGGACCCTCATATGTTTTTTTCTTCCGGGGACCTGCAGCCAAGTTTGTCTTTAATAGACGCCACCGGTCTAGTCAGAAGCACGTCACCGGCTCGGCCGCCGGGCGCTCCACGGGCGGCTTGTCGGGCTCCAGGCCTGTGCTCCGCCCTGTGGTGACCCTCTTTGTGACAGGACGACACAGAAAGACAACGACAAAAGGAAGCAACAACAACGAAAAAGGCTATATCTGAGAGGAGGGAGATCAGACAATATGGAATATTGGAATATTCCATATGGAATGTGGAATATTCATACCACAAAGAACCACGGTCGCTATACCCAGACTGGTCCCCCAGACAGAAACTTTTCTCTCATCAGTCTTAAATTTGGAAGGGCAAAAGAGACAATAATCTTTACCGTCCGCTCAACCGGAGCCCACAGAGAGACGGGGGAGAACCCGGGGTCTGACTGGTAAGTTGAGGTATTTTACCATGTCCCGCCCGCAGAGTCCAAATCCTCCTCACTGCGGCTTTCCAAACAGCAGAGCGAGCCGAAAGTTCCTTCTGGCTGCCCAAATTGCGGGGGTGAAGGGGAACTTCCCCTTTCCCCAAAAAAAGTTCCCTGAAGGTCAACTCAACTCGCAATAAAGTAGATCAAGAAGAGAGAAATTTATTTCCCATGCGCCTGCGCGAGGGGATCCCGAGAGTGATCACCGCTATCCCGCCGTGGGGACATTGCTATGGAAAGCCTTCGAGAAATACCAACACCTATTTGATAGGATTATTATTTCCCGAGCCCTTTGCAGGATGCACCATAGAAATAATAGAAATACTTAAAATATACAGAGCACACACACACACAAAAAAAGCCCTGTACTCCTATAAATGCTGTCTGGCCCACATAAAAGAGAGTCGAGATTCTTTCCCTGAAACGGTGTATTTTATTGGAATTAGCTCCCCCACTTTTTGAACTTAAATGTTTGAGAACTGAAAATATATGAACATGGATAGAGTTTGTCAGAGTGATCTTATAGTACTAAAGCCAGAGGATTGAGAAATTATTTTTACTTGAAAGAAAAATAGGAAGTATTTAGTACATACTGAAACTTAAATACTAAATTTAAATATAAGTTTAGTACATACTTAAACTTAAATATAACTTAAATTGGGGCTGTCTTAGTAAATGCCCAATGACTATCTTGCAATTGTCTTTAAAATAAATATACCAGAGAACAGTATTAGGTTATTTTCTATTCCAAATCAAATTGTAAACTATTCTTTGATAAGAGAGGTAATCACAGTTTTATAAAAATAAATAAAAATGTTTGTTTCCTCCATAAAGAGCTTGGACTGCACTGATTCAAATAATTTCCTGTACTTTTATTGAAGTAGAAATGGTGTTCAGAGATTTCACAATCTCAAAAACAATTGCCTGTTTCAAGAGTTTTCATTGACTTATATCTGAATTAGCATTACAATGTAGATTATATAGCAGATATATATCTATGTATATATAAAAAACATTGTTTTTTCCTCTGTTCCTGAAATGTCCTAGAGGCAATGGCATCTCAGATAGGACCAACCTAATATATATGGCCCAGATTATAGTTCTTAAAATTAATTTTTCCATGATATGGAACAAGGTTTTTTTGGAAGGAGAACTGATTCCAGATCTGGGGAAGGAAGGTACAAGAGAATTTGTAAGTCCTTATATAAAAAGCCACGGTTTCATTCAAGGGTTAATGGAATCAAATCAAAGGACACAGGAACCAGATTATAGGTGTTTGTGATATTATGAGCATTTTTATGAAACTGCACTCAAATCATGGGGATTTTATTTGTGTCCAGTTCTATTACTGCCAGAAACAAAGCCTGTAATTCAGCCCACTAGGCTGATGACCTGGCCTATTCTTCTTCTGTGAACAATTTACTATCTGCTGGACACAGGAAAGTGCTTTCCATATTGAGCCATGCTACTCCATTGTGGAACTGTCACCTGTAACCAGGCCCACTGCCATGTATCCTTGGGGCAATGGGTAGAAAGGTGAGGTCTGCCAGTAACAGAAATGGCCAAGTCTTCACATAGCATTTTAGAAAGTCATAGTGGAAAATAAGCCACTTGCGTATGAATACAGTGAGTCCCGCTGCAGTATCATACCCAAATGCTTCCGTGATATTATTTCTATTTTATGATGAACCTTCTATGGACATTTTCCTCCATGTTGGGATGCTTTTTTGACATTACTCATGACATAAGGGGTAATTCAGGAGTTAATATAATTTTATGTCCTTCAGTTATTGGGGCTGTCTTAGTAAATGCCCAATGACTATCTTGCAATTGTCTTTAAAATAAATATACCAGAGAACAGTATTAGGTTATTTTCTATTCCAAAAACACACAAGTTACTATTGACTATGGTTATGAGCTCTTACCAGAGACTTGAGTTGCCATGAATGCAGGTGGCTGACACTTTGAGTAACATCTCAGCTTTGGCACCATATGGCCCAGGATAGACTGAACTACAGGTTCCAGGAAGGCTTTTTGCTTTTTTTGTTCAAGCTTCCAACAAAATAAGGATTTTTTTTCCAGGTGATTTAATGTAGTAGGCTCAGTAAGTGGCATAAGTGAAGGATAAGATTTTTCCAAAATCCAAATAGGTCTACCAGGCATTAGGCCTCTCACTTAGTCAGAGGGGAAGGGAGCAAGAACATTTTATTCCTAGTAGTCTGCAGTGTATCACAAGGCACTGTGACCCATGGAATCCTCACCAATTTTACAGTCTGGGCAGGGTCTTGGATTTTTTTCAGGGTTCATTAACCATCCTCAGTCAGATCCCCAATGAGATTTATAATCAAAGTTGCTTTTAGCCTGATTCTCAGTTTCAAAGATAATCATAGGATCATCAGTATAGTGCATCAGGACACTGTATTACCTGTAGATGTAGTAGCGACATTGAAAAATAAAAAGAAACAGGTCAGATTAAGTCTAATAATATATTTTATTAATCCATTACATCTAAAATATTTCAACATGTATCAATAAGAAAATATTGAGACATTTTTTGCATTTATACTATATCTTCAAAATTTAGTATTTTATGTTTATAGCACAGTACATCTCATTACAGATTCTAAAATTCCACCAGAAATACCTAATCAGTATTTAGATTTCATAATATTTATTGACTCTGCTTAAAAGTTTTACAATAACTGAAGGGTTAGTTTTTAAGTTTACTAAAATTAAATAAATATTCAGTTACTTCATCACACTAGCCATATTTTAAGAACTCAACAGCCACAGGTATAGGTCGAGTGGATTTTGTTTTTCTTCACATGCTAATTTAAGTTGTAATGAAAATTCTAAATTATTTTATTTTACGTGCTGTGGAAGACAGAGAATAGATGACAATGAAGAACAAAATCAAAGATGGGTCATTCAGAGACCTTGCCATGAAAGCAGGAAAGCTTTTGCATAGGAGTATCAAGTCTAGGCACTAAATATAAAGCTGTTCTGCTACCGCTGATAGAACATTCCCATCACCTTAATATTCCCCTAATTATTTACTATTATAATACTTTCTTTTCATTCAAAAAGTATTTGAATCTGTGGAGGGCCTGAACTGGATACCGTGCTATATGCACAAAAGGGGTGAAATCTAGGGCTTACCCTCAATCAGAATGTAATTTAATCTTCTAGTCACTAGGAATAGCAATATTTTGTAAGATTTCTGCCTGTCGGAATTTGAATCAAAGGTGAACCAGCTGACATCATAATCCCCTTCTGTAGTTCTCATACAATTTCAAGAATTGTTTTAATCTAAATCCTCTGGTACCTTATGGCCTATACAAATTTCACCTAGGTCAAATGCAGTGATTGCTGCAGGCACAGTCATACAAAAACAAACTGTTCTTTAAAATCACTGTCGTGTAGGAAAAAGAAGTAGCAATACAAATATTTTATACTATTTTATTTAGCCACCAAATAATCAGAAAACAGTCATCAAAAGATAACCTATGCCGGCCAGCTGTGGTGGCTCACGCCTGTAATCCCAGCACTTCGGGAGGCTCAGGCGGGAGGATCACTTGAGATCTGGAGCTTGAGATCCGCTCCCCACAAAAACAAATAAACCACTAATTAGCTAGTGGGAAAGCATGAGGCTGTAGTCTCAACAATTCTGCAGGTTGAGGCACCAGGATCACTTGAGCAAGGAGTTTGAGGTTGCAGTGAGCTATGAAAACACCACTGCACTCCAGGCCAGGCAACAGAACAAGACTCCGTCTCAAACCATCAACCAACCAAAGAACCCCTTACGCTTAACTTCATTTTTTCAGGTTTCAAGACAAAGTTTTAGAAGAGAGACTCCTTCAGTTGGCAAAAAAGCATTAAAGGAGCTTACCGTTGTAAGAGAGGTGCCCTGTTTTGTAAACTGTTTCAAATAAGATTCCAAATACATTTTGGAACTATATGGAGCGTCGCATACCTTAACAATCCATAGCCTTCCACTTTCCACCCCTTGCTAACACATGACTCTCTCCGTGAATTTGACCCATCATTAAAACTCACAGGTGCACTCATTGAACAGGTGTAGCAAGCAAATGATCTGCCAAAATCCAACCTTGAAGTGCGTTTTCGGAATCTACTTCCCCATTAGTACTAAATTTAATAGGTATTTAGCTTCCTTCTAACGCCCCCCAAAGCACACACACCGCTCCGCCCCCACAGGAAAGCCCCCAAGAGGCGGTTCCCACGCTCCCCGCGACCGCCAAAGTTCGCAAAGGATTTGTGGAGCGCGACTGCACATGCGCGGCCTTCTCGCGCATGCGTCGCAATCCCCGCGCATGCTCGGAGGCAGAGGCCGGAGAGGTATGAGAGGGTAACGGAGGCCGACCTGCCCCGCCCCCTCTCTCAGCGCGGAGCCTCCCTTCCGCGCCGGGTCGGCTCCGCTTCCATTTCCGGGCGGGCAGGCGGCGGGCGCTGGTGTTTGTTTCTCTGCCTTACGCAGAGTCGCCTTCTGCAGCTTCCCATGGCGAGCGTGGCAGCTCGGAAGAGCCGGGCCGCCCTGCGGCTCTGCGCCACAGGTAATGGACGGCGCGCGGGGACCCGGCCCCGAAGTGGGAGCCGGGATGGAGGCCGGCCTGGGGTAGCCGGCCAGGGATGGGGCGAGGCCTGTGGGGTCCGCGGAGAAACCCACCTGGTCCTGGCCTCTTCCTGCCGGACCCGCCGCGCCGTCCTGCAGCGACCTGACTTAACGGACGCCTTCGAGTCCTTCCCTGACCTAGGCTTTGCTGGATACTCGGTACCAGACGTGGGAAAGATGTGGCTGTCTTCTGTTTGGTTATTTTCTTATCATGGCAGGAAGTTTCAGTAGCGCTTACTCCATTGATAGGCGAGGATGGCACCATCCTAACTTATGGCTAAATATTGCCTTGGCTTTAGGTTCCGAGTCTTGTCACATTTGCAGGATTTTTACCACTGGTGCTAAGAGAGAGCTGGACAAGGACAGATCATGGTTAGACTGCCGGGATGGTGCAGTGTGAAAAGTGACCTGAATATGTGTCAGCCTTTCTCGGCCTCCTGTCAGCATGGGGTACCCTGGTTCTCATTGTGGTTTACTCACTTACTCAGCAACCTTTTGGAGTCCACTATGAGCCAGGCACTGTTCTGTAAATAGTATTAGAATTGTAGCTCCACTTCTATCTTTTCTTTATTTCTTTTCTTATTTTTCCGCCTACTTTGGAGAAAAAAAGAAAACTAATATTACTAGCATTTTGAATGGCATTTGGGGTTTTTACTGAAGAGATAATTCTTACTAGAGAAACAAATATAGGGAAATAATTTCTATATTCCAAAAAAGAATGATAAAAAGGAAGAGTAGATGAGAGTGAAAATGTGTAGAAAAAGGAACCCTATGTATTGTATTTATTAACGTACATAGAACTTGCCAGTCATAGTATAGTTGCTTGCAGAGTAAGTATTCATTAAATGGATGAACTGCTTATACTTTTGCATCACTTGTACCCTGGGATGTATCAATGATTAATTTTTGATTAAGAAATCAAAAACACTTTGTAGGTGACTAAGCATCTAGTACAGGACAAATGATAAATCCACATTTATTGTCTACATTTGTCTTCTCTTTTTTTTTTTCCAGTTCTTTTACTTGATGTGGCCCTCTGTAAAGGATTTGTAGAAGATTTAGATGAATCGTGAGTATATATTTTAAATAATTTTTTTTAAATATTTTAACTTTTTAAAAATCTTTTTACCTTGTATTTGTTGTGTCTTTTCCTTTAATTATACTGAGTGCTGGAATTCGATAACCACACTATATTTTTCTTCGTAGTATCATATGATTAATCACAAGGCCTTCCTTACGGTAGGTGAGGAGTCCGGCTCCAGACCAAAATCCTGTGTGTGATCTTTCACACATACGGTGGGCAATTACAAGGCTTTTCCTGGCAGGCCACTGGGGGCAAGGTGCCCTCCTCACACCAAAGTTGGTGCACAACTAGTTCATTGCAGTCTCTGGAGGGAGTTGTAGTCAAGGACTCAGGCCCCCCAGACCAGCCATGCTCATGTGGATATTTGTACTCCTAGCCCAGTGGCATCTATTTGGAGGCCTCCTTATTGGAGCCTCATGCAAGGCATTTCCCAAGGCCAAAACATCCTTATCGAGGGCCTCAGCTGAGGCACTTTTCCATTCCTAGTCCTTTTTCCTCTTGTCCTCCTCGTAAAGAGGCAGAAG